AAAACCCCTTGTCTGCAATGGCACTGGTTCTTGTGTCCATGTTACTGAACTGAGGAGAGCATCTGTTTGGCCGCCCTGTTCTTGGCCTTACCTGGGCATGATCCTCCAACTAGCTCAGACTTGCACAAACGTCGCGAACTCAATGCACTGCCAATGGACAATCGATTAAACTGTTGGAATTTAAACAAAAAGAACTTGGACAAACTCAAACTGTCACCTGGTTGAACATGTTGAGGAGAGCTTCAATAAGAACAACCACAGAAAGACACGGTGGTAGCAAGTGCTTTCCCTGAACGTGCAGTTGGTAGTAAGCTACCCAAGCCACCCCCGCACCGGTTCCCACCCAACTGACCCCACCTTCAGCGGCCGCGATGAGCCCGGCGATCCGGGCATCCTGGGGTGACTCCGGGTGATCGGTGAGGATAGATCCACTCGGAGGAGCACATCGCATGGAAGTGTGAACGGGCCAATTTGTCTTCCCTCAATCAATTCAATCATACATCTCCATTATCATACGTGTCCATATGTTCCTTGCCGCACTTCCTTGCAAGTCAGTTGGAGTGTATCTATTGGTGTGACAAGGTGACGAAAGTAAGAACGCACAAAGAAGATGGTCACAACTACGACGGAGGGGAAATAAACAACACTCGCCTTCATTTCTGCACTGCTGCTTGCCTAGGTCCTAGGTCTGCTTCTATGTATATTCCAGGTGGCACAGGATCTTGTTTGCCAACAGTTTTGCGAGTGTTTGCCATCTTCATCCATGATGGAATCGCAAGAGCAAACTTCACGTCCATTCGCAAGACCATTGACCACCTTTCACCTCCGCTTACGTTGAATTGTTAAACAACCTCCTGCTGCAACTGGCCGCTGGCCCTTCCCCCTTTGGCTCGCCTGCGTCCGGTCGATTGCCGTGACATCCTGCATTGAAAGAGTCACGATCTCCAGACTAGGCCCCTATCTATAATCCCCTGGCCCCTAGTTATATGGATTTGTAGATCACACAACCTGCCTCCAAGTTTTCGGATACCCCTTCAGAGTACCATCGAATTTGCAAGTCAGTGGATCCACATACAACCAGCTTGAGACACGGCAATGCATGGCATGATCTTCCCGCAAACACCCCACCTGCTGTGTCCATGTTGATTTGCATGAGACATTAAAGATCATGAAAGCCCGGCTGTAAGGCTTCTTGGATGTTCATTGGAGGCACCAGAGACCAAGTACGTGGAAGGAGGAATGACCTCCTCTCCAGGTTCTGAAACACAAAAGCCAGTGCTTTTGACAATGAGAAGTTCCTTAATCAGCTCAACAGGGATGACCGTAGACGCCTGTGACGTTTCAGCGGCCCCGAGCCTGGCATTTCAGTGGCCTTGGAGGCAAGCGACTCTTCTGGTCGGTCCGTGCTATTATTGAGGTCAACGAGGCCCAAGGAGGCAGTTGCAAACCACGAACATCTTTGAAAGAGATCCACTTACGGGTCACCACGTCCCTTTTCAACAATGGATGTCTCCTGCAGATTCTAGATCACATTCCAGCAGCAGCAATGAGAATGTCCCAAAACAAGCAACAACCGAACCTCTTTGGAAAGGCCCCCTTCGTTTCGCTGAGCATGTTAAGCGTTCACATCTCAGGAGCCCTGCGGGGAAGCACGCTGTAAACCCTCGGAGAGCTCTTCCAACAGCTCCTGTCAGCAGGGCCCCGACCAGCAATCTAGCCTCCCGTTTAATAGGAGGTCGGTCTTCCAACTGTGGATGTTGCATCATGCTACATTGACTAGTTCTATGAGCGTGTGGCATCTGCCAAAACTAAACGTACTGTTCAGTAGAGGACATGATTCAGCAAGGTTATCGCTTTTGAGGGGGCCTATTGTTTGGCAGGTGTTTGCCCTAATGTCAACACAGCTGAAGATAACAAACAACCGTGGGGGTACGCTTTTGAGGGGGGAGGGGAGGGCTATCGCTTTTGCAGGCTTTAGCAAAATTCCTTAAATTAATTAACGACCGCTCTTTATTGAATTAGTCATCGCACGTGCTGGCAGTTGCTCATGTGTAGTTCAGACCGATACAGGCTCTTTTTGACATGTGTTGGTGCCGTGCAAAAGGGAAGGGAAATGAACATATGGCCAACCAACGCTTCTTGCTGTAGCCCAATTGATTCTATTCGTGCTGTAGCCATACCAGGGGCATCTCTGGAATGGGTCTGTATTGCAATAGGCCCAATCTGGACAACCAAACCCTGCGGTTGGGAGCTCCCAGCCTAATCCCCACGCACAAGAATCTTCCAAGTTTCAATCCAACCAGCTCTGTAGAGTTTACCCACCCTAAAAACCAGGAAACCAATAAATCTATACATATATAGTAATATCTGGTATATAATTGCTAAAATGCATCACTGATTCGCTCTTTGCAAACGAGGAGGGTGGAAACCAAAAATGTCCGCTTTGGAAAGAAGCCCGTTGATCACTGAGCATCTACGTGTTATTTCACAAGAAAACAACTCAGTGTAGTGAATAGTGCTAAGGCTTGAGGCTTAGAGTCAAATGTGGAGCCCCACCGATCCGCACCTAAAAGAATGAAAACAAACTCATGCAATCTGTCCTAAAAAATCTCTGTGAGCAACTGTAGACATTAGACATTAGACATTCTCTCCCTCACGCAAACATAACAAAGTCCCCCCAAATAAGGAAGGCTGATCAGCTCATACATGATGACAGAAGAATTCCTGTGACCTTCCAACCAGCAAGTTGAATCGCCATTGGTGACTCCGGGATCGAAGGCATCCTGCTGCTTCTGCAAGCGCATGCACAGCTGCATCCGCTCCAAGGACTCGCAGCGAAGAAACCTGAGTCAAAGTGTTCATTGGGCATGGGATGAGGTCAACGAAAGTCGCGAATGAGCCTGGCACTATGGACCTGGACCTTGTTTGAAGGTCTTTGAGGGCACTTCGGTGTACAGATTATCCAAAGGAAAACCACATAATAAAGAGGTTGGGAGTGTTTCTTCCTATGTCAGAAGCAGTCCCACGCATCTTCTTCACTTCAAAACGGTGGTTTGTTCTTCGAACAACAACCTAAACCCCATCAGGAGAGGATGAACATCTGCAGTTGTCAGTCCAAACTCACAACACCGTGCCCCGGGTTAATATCGCAAAAGTAACCAGAATGCTCTGCCTGGATGTTCAATATCCCCGTGTCTCTGGGTTTACTCCACCAGTAACATTGAAAAGTCACCTCATCCTCGTCCTATTTCTAGGAAAGCGTTTGGTCCAATAATTAGGTGCAATCTTGTCAGGTATCCAAGAGGTGAGCCACCCCTGACGGTTCCATCCCAGGCTGCCGTTCCTGTGGTTTCCCGGCTCTCGGATCTCTTCCAGATCTGCGCTCGGAGACAATGCCTTAAGGTACTCGGGCTTGTTTGACGCTTTGGCGGACGTGGGCACACAAACAGTCAAATCAAAGATTGGACGCGCAGCATCGTGTGATCCAAACGCACTGTGTGGTCAGCGCACTCTCAAACCTGAATCAACAACACAACCACGTTCTTTAGTTAATATAACCCGACGATCCAACCATGAATTGGAAGTACAACTAATTGTTGGTTGAAAACCACTGCATGGTTCAAGATTGAACCTCTCGGCTTCAGCGGATGGTTTTGTTCCGTGGCACCAAAACCTCAGGATGCCACGAACTTTTCCGATTCGGGCTCCACCACCTGAGCCTCAGCGCAGAAGGACGCCCAGCTTGGCATTCTATGTGACCGCTACTTCAACCGTCTAGGGCGTGTCACCAAGCCCTTGCACACATTTCGTCGACCTGGGGCCACTAGCCATGAGCAGTTCAAGCCTCAGCCATGCCCGACACGGCATCAAACATCCCTATCCCAACTCGACGTGAGGAAGCTCCAAGAAACCTGTTCCTTTCCGCGAGTTTGGAATTGTGGCCGAAGCCAAGTATTGAAGTAGAAATAGAATATAATTATAGCTATAACGCTACTAGGAACAAGTGCATCGCTACTAGGAGCAAGGGCCTTACTAGTAGTAACAAGAATTAAAATAGAAACCAAAAAGCTACTAGGAACATTAACTATAACACATTATATTACACTGTGACTCTCGCACTGTATGAACTCGCAACATAGCTGAGCGCCCGGACGTGATTCACCAATCGGTCCAGTTGAGAAATGGTCGATGAAGCAAAGCACCCCCCAGTTCAATGATTCAAGGCTTCGTAACCCCTCCGATGACTTGGGGGCAATCCAAAGAATTCTTCGGCTTTTTGTGTGGCGCATATTTTGAGGTCATGGTTTGTGGCTGCTGGGCAGTTCTCTGCACTGCTCATCGGCAGTCTAGCTCATCAACCTTCGTGCGTCTGAGATCTTTTGCACTCTCAGAGTTCAGGACGTTTGCACAAATTGTTGGATGATGGCCTGTTTCAATTTTTAAGCATTCTGCAGGGTACACATCATGGCCTCTTCCCATGGACTACGTCTCATGTGTCACCAGCGGCCGCGTCACTCGGGGCCAAAGCGGCTCTGTTTTTCGGGCAAACCTGTGCTGCCTTTAAAACAACTTGTAGGACTAGAAGTTTCGCCAGGATCTTTCAGTATATATACCAAAACCCTCAAGAGTCAACTTCAACCAATCTGGGACTCTGAGGTGTTTTGGACATGTGAAGGCAAAGGAAGGCACGCGACAAAGATGCATCGAAGATCACTCAAACCAAATGTGATTGAAATTTGAAGGCTCAGCTTTTCAAGGATCGATACCTTGAGGGTTTTGGTGATGCTGAGTGCATGCCAGGTGGTGCTAGAAAAGCACATCAACATACATCAACCGTGGTATTGATGAACAGGACTTCCTCCCATCTGGGACCCGTGCAGAATACTGGGAGTTTTGTGTTGATCCCTTCTCGATGCTACGCCACTGTTCAGACCCCCTGGATTGGATGTGAATGAGTCTATTTTGGGGTCCGCAATGAGAGGCTCTTGCGGTTTTCCCACCTCAAGGGACACTCTTGGGGACGCCCTCCAGCGACAGGGAGGCGCCATGTACAGCCATCCCAGAAGGTGGTGAGGTTGTCATAGCACCAGCTGCCCTGTGCGTCGTGATGTGTCGTGATGCGTTGCGGCTGTTGAGAGAGGTTCGCTCTCCTTGGTTCTTTCTTGGGGATGGGACTCTGGCATGACGGTCTCCCTTGGCATCAGTAGTCGCATCCTGGCACCTTGGTGAACAGGCTGAACATGAGCATGATCGGCCTGCAGCCTATTATTGTATTTTTGCATCTCTTTCCAGTAGGTTGAGAGGTGCAAGTCATAGTATAGGCAAGTTGTTCAGGCTGTGCTCATGACCTAAGGCAGACTGAGGCATGCATTGTAATTATGGCTATATCCCCTGCCAGAAAGGGTTCTTAAGTTCACTTGAATCAAACTCAGATTAGGCCCTGGTGCCTTTGCTAACCACGTGTCGGATAGGCCTTTGACAAGCCGTCAGCACCAAAAAGCAGAAAATGCACTCGGGCTTTTGAGAGTGTAGCAATTATCTGACTTCTGGTTTGGCTTCTCCAGGGTATGAACATCTGTAGCGAATTGCTTGCCAGCACTTGCAGCTGACTTGCTGCAGACCTCGACCTCTGCCTCCCTCTTTCACCGACCAAAGAGAACTCTCACAACCATTTCATGGCAGCTTTCCAAACCCTTTTGGTGCCAAAGGATCTTCTACAAAAGAAGAACTTCGAGCAAAAGTCTTACAGTATAAACCGCATCCAGTCCAGCTCCACAACTTGGCCTTCTGGGCATGGAGGGCCTCATGCTGAGTCGTGCTGGGCTGGTGACTGGTGGTCAGGTTTCGCTGGGTCAAGAAGAAAAAACAAACACCCAAGTAGATATGGATGCTTGTGTGGGACCACTGACCACACCTGCTCAATGACTCTATGGAAAAGAATGCTAACAAATAAGTGCGGTAAGGTCTCCTGCTGTAAACTAAAGAAGGTTACTCAAGCTTTTGTCCAGTTCGGTTTCCTAACCCCAAAGTCCAAGTGCCCAACCTGGATCAGATCCCAACAGGGCGCTCGCCGCAGGAACCGAAAGAACAGAACACCTGGCGCTTCAACGGGCGCTTCACGGGTGTCCCTGGACTTGGGGCGACACAAGGTGGACACGGTCACCAGACGAGCTATGCCAGGAGTGCGGAAGGTCTGAACTCTGAAGCCTCGTCCTGCTAAGTTCGTGTGAGACGTCTTTGACATGTTAACCATTGTTAAGCTGTGTCTCGGTCTGGAGATTGGTAGCCCGGCAAGAAGCACTCTGAGGAAAGACTAGTCCACTTGTCGACCAGGGAGAGTCCTTGCCAAATGAATGCCAGGTGCCCTCGATACACCACAAGAACGCCGCCTTGAAAGTATACCATTGCAATTCAATCCGAAAAACAGACCACACCAAACAAGAGCAGTCCTTTATTGTTCATACCAATCCTTGACCCACATCCAAAAGACTCTCCCTGGGCTACATAGATCCACGCCTAGAAGATCCCCCAGCAGCGCGCAGCTGCCAGCGTGCAGCCCAGACAAGTTGCCCAAATGCACCTTGACAGAACGAAAGCGCCCAACACATTAATAGTGAAAAGTGTCCAACTTGCAAATGGTATGCCAAATGGTAGGATACCAAGGTGTACAAATGCCGCTACAAATGACCTCTGGCCACAGATTTGTTCATAATCGAGGCAAAAGTTCTGGTGGGCTTGGAAGTCCGTGGTCTGCCTGCGCCATCGGCACAGGCCAGCAAAGTGCCGCGAGCGCCATGCTAGCAGCCAGCCTGGACTTTCATGTGTTGAATGGACGGGTAGGTTAAGGAGGGACTCAGAGAAGTATCGTGAGTGAATCTTGAAGAAGTCACGTCCGATTGCTAGCACTACCTCGTTCTCTTTGCCATTTGAAGAGTCCAAAAACATCAAGAACACACTCATCTGGAAACTGATGCATCAACATGAAGGTCCTATAATTTACAAACAAATATCAGCCCATTGTCCCCCATCAAACTTACCGGACGAATCCCCAACTCTGGTTTTTGCTGACTGACCCTGGATTTGTCCTACCAGTTCTGAATTAGGTGGACCTTACTTTTACCCGCCCCGTTCCTCACAAAGAGCACACGATTGGGAAGGTAGCAACGAAATTACTTAACTTTCTCTGCCTACCCACCCCTACCTACCTACCTACCTACCTACCTGCCTGTAAGTCTCCACCTACTACATCAGCTATCCGAGCATCTTCTCCCCCTCCATCTGGCGCCTCTCTGCCAGGGGCCTCTGGCGGATGACCAACTCAAAGAGGCCCCACGACCAGTAGAAGTGCGCCTGATTCGATCGGGCAAACCGCCGGGCCAGCTCACACGTGCCGTTCGCCGCATTCCATCCCGGTGCCAAAAAAGGGGAAGCATTCCAAAGGCTGTATAGGACTTCTGCTGGGTGGGTGCTTGGCCCAAAAGAATTATATATATATATTATATTACTTATTACCGTAAGTAAACGTGCTTAATTAATTGCTATACATGATATGCCTCCCTTGTACATTGTATGTTCATTGCATTGTAGTGTCCCATTTTGTTGAGGTGTCCACCATGGTTCCTCTGGCATCTCTCCCGAATTTGTCGGACTGGGCCGCCCGGGCCGCCAGGACCATGGCCTCCGGCGAGCAGCCAAGGCGTGGGAGCGCTCCTGTGGCCACCTGTCTGACCAAGGGATCAGATTCAAAAGGTGAAACTCCCTGTCTGCGCTGTCTGTGTGTCCCTTTTTCTCCAAATGGACCTCATTTTGGGAACAAGTGGAACTGATGCGAAGCATGAAAGACTAAGTGACTAGGAACGGATTGATTGTGCCTTCACAGCCAAATTGTAGTTGGTTGCCCCCTTTTCAGTCTCTTGCCAGTTCGGCGGTTCGGTGTTCAAACTGCAACCGAGACAGCCGGAGCTTGAGATGCATCGCTCTACCGAAAAGCCTATCATTGCTCAATTGGCTTTGGAACTCTCGTTACTGACAAAGCCCAAGCGGAGTTCCCCATCCGTGGCCAAATCCAGAGGGAGTCCGACAACCCTTGGCAGCCAATGGCAGGGCATACATGTGGATCTTAACCAATCTCATGAGCCGTCTGGGTCTTCGGGACCTTGCGTTTCACGTTTAACAGTTTAACCTGCCACACTCCCGGTGAACACCAAAACATCCCGAAATGGTCCAAGGAAGCTTTGACCCATCCTTATCCCGATTGTTCTTCCTTTTTCCGCTTCGGTGGTCGGTTCAGGAGCCGCCAAGCCCGCCCACCTGCGGATCGAGGTAGTGCCAGGAGACCTGGATCGATGAGTCGGCACATGTCATGAAACAGAAGCAGCTCTTGGTTTCTTGGAGATTCAGAAGCCTTAGGTTTCTTGGTTCACAGGTAAAAACAATCGAAGACATATGAAGACATGACATGAACACCACCTGTTGGTTGGTTTGGAACTTGGAGACAAAGAAGTCACTGAACCTAGGCTCCCAAGCAAAGAATGACGTCATCATCTGTAGAATCGTTACATATCTATACTCAATGTAATGTTGATCTGTTCTTTTGCTGTGCCCTGCGAAATGTTTGACACCAAAATGCTGAAACAACAACAATTGAACTTCTAAATAATTGTACGATGTATGATGTAAGTCTGCAAGATTTGTTTGCCTGCCTTGGAATTCTTTGTGTGACATACTACAAGTAATTACAAATTTGGCAGGAGCTCTTCTGCTAACAGTAGAGCACACCTTGTTGAATCCCATGGGTACCAAGGATCAAGACCCCAACCCAAATGAGCTGTCCAGAAAGTCATCAAATCAATTGTGGTGGAACTGGTCATTCTCCGATTCGGTGTGCAATGTTCGGAGCAGAAACTGTTCACCGTCTCAGATCACCCCGGCCTGCAAAGCAGTCGCCATGGGCCGCAGCAAGAGCCAGAAAGTCCCAAAGCACAAGACCTGTGGTTCCGCCATGTCACCAGATACACTAGCTCGTTCGTCACCTACACGCAAAATAGACTGTTTTAGATGGGATTTACTTTCCTATCTAGTTTGGAATCCATAAAGTCCATCTTTGTCACCTAAACCTTGCCGCTGAGAAGAGGGAGACGGAAGGAAGGACGCAAAACCCACAAATCAACCCAAAAGCGATTGCTAGAACCCAATGGCTATTCCAGGTGACTGTGTGACTGTACAGTAGCAATCTCTAAGGGGTAACAAATCCCAGAGTTGGAGGGTGAACTGACCACAAGCGCACGTTGTCAACAGGGGTGGCAGTGGGGTTCGCAAGCCTGGATGAGGCCTCTTCCAGTGACGGCGACTGGCAACCTAAGAAGCAGCTGCAAGTAACAAACTAAAGAAACCACTTCAATGCTTCCAGCCCATTATGTTCAATAGGAGTTGAACAATCTGGGAAACGCTCTGAGAGTTTCTGTAGAAACAACTATCAGAAAACTATCAGATATAAACTCATGTACAGTCGGATACAACGTCATATAACTTGAAACCTACATCCCCTCCAGGTAAAACTTTAATTTACCAAAGCAGACCATAGGATAGAAAATATGTTGTTATTCATGATTTAATTTATGAGGAAGTAAACCTTAATATAAAAATAAAATAAAGATACGTGGGTTAGCAATATTAATGATGAAAATATAGGAAAAGACATAATCCATTAAAATTAGTGAGGATGCAGTCTATGGATTAAAGATACTATTTCCCACCTTATAAATTGTAATGATGATAGAAGAGACCAACAGGCCCATGAATTCTTAATACAAAGTGATGATAAAATTCATGGGTTCCTACATCTTATTATTTTATAACACCAAAACAAGCTTTGGTCGAGCGGAGGCTGAGGCATCCACCCGAATGCCAGGAGCATGGGCCAATAACTAAAGAGCCACTCCTGAGCACGTCCCGTCCCACGATTTCCAAGCTCCTCCACGGCCAACCAGCTCAAACATTTAAGTTACTGTTGACATGGGCGGAAGTGGCCTGACAGCTGTGTGGCGCTTGCTCTTCAATGAAACCTTGATGGATATTGTAAATCCAAATTCTACGCAATTCTAGGTGTTAGCTCCCTTGTGACCCTTTTCCATGGTTGTCGGACAAAGAATATGTGCTTCGTCGTTCACCCAAGAGAGCGACAGCAGCTCCCATGTTGCTTGCATCGGATTAGCATTCCCACACCCAATGAAACCGGAACTTCATCACTTCCATTGCGCAGGGCTGAAGCACAAGGACCAAGCCAATACTAGCGGCTTTATGTGCAAATATCTAAGTTCGCCTACATGAGTATTACTAATGGCTAATGGCTAAGACATTGCAATACATCTGATTCATCATCTCTGTTTCAAAAGAGCGGCTTAACCTCTTACTTAACTTCCTTGACCCCTTCCTCTTCCCCTTGCTTCCCCTCATATCGAGGTGCCAAGGCTTCGGGCGTCGCCCGCTCCACTAAGACCTCTCCGGTAAAAACAAAGCACCCGACTTCTGGGACGAGCCATTGGGCTGTCAACCCGTCGAGTCGACCCCTTTTTTCGGCCAAAAAGACCACCCAGCAGATTCACCCACTTAAAGCCTAGAACAGCCTATAGTCTATAGTTCTTACGTTCTTATACAGTAGTTGGCAGTTGAGCCCAAGACTGAGGTGAGTTAGCTGGTGGGGATCGATCCTTTCACCCACACATCTCTCCACAGTCTATCCGTCTGTCAGTGTCTGGGATGGTGGTTTGCGACCAATTTGTTGCACTTGCAAGAAGCGTGCCACGTTCCCACCAAAACCAAACAAACAATTACACTAAGTAGACACAGACTCAAAGGGGCCCTGCAAACATGAAAACGCGGGACCGAGCCTGAAATATTTGTGCCTATTCGACTCATTGCTCAAAATGCAGGTATATCTAATGCGAGATAATGCGAGTGGCAAGTGAGTCAGCTTTGGACGCGCTCTGAAGGATTGCTCAAGCATGCTCAAGCTGTTTCTTTTCCCGGGAGTACTGCACATACATCCTAAAACATCCTAAAACCAAGGACACATGCACATATCAAGCGAAAAAAAAAAAAAAACAGTTGCATCCCACAAACCAAAAGCATTTAGCTGACAGCAAACGTTTCTTCGCTGAGGCTCCTGGCATTAAGCAGGGAGTGCCGCAAGCCGGGCAGGTTCGTGGCATTCGAGAATATCTCCTCCTAATGGCAGCTCAGGTGGGAACCCACTGGCAGTTGCTTGGTGGAAAAAGTGTTGGCAGAAAACACTGCCCGGCATGTGAAGAAAATATGAAAATTGAGAACCAGTGGAGTTGAGAGCTTCTGATTGAAGCAACTTTGTGCAATCAAAAGAAAAGGAGCTACATGTCATGAGACGTGCATCCTTTGTTCAAGTACCAAAGTAGCAGTTCTCCATGTCTTATCCGTGAAAAGCCCAAAACAACATTGAATTGCAAACTGACTGTCACCCGAAACAAGAAAATGCTGTCATGCACCATCAAAGAAACTTGACCAACATCCTTTTCAAGTTGAAACAGCTTGAACAACTATCCAATCATTCCCAGCATCCGCTGATTGGCTGAGCCGTCCGAACGACGGTCCCATGGCCGATGGCCTCGACGTATCGGCCCTTGTGCTGCAGAAGCTCCAGGACCTGCGTGGGGGAGCGGAAGCCGAGCGTCCCAAGCCATCCGGGTCACGGGACACCGGGTGAAACGGTTTCAACGGTGAAATCGGTGATAGAGATGTTTACAAAGGGGAGTCCTTCTAAAAGTACTACATTCGTTGATCTGGGGCATGCTTGCTCCCATGAGCATCCATGAGCCATATTGAATCCCAAAGACTTGGACGAAGTCCTCGCTTCACAACTGGGACCAGCCATTGAGCAAGAATGAACATGCTTCCAGGATCTCTGTTGTTTCATTCCAAACACCAGATCTTGTACACCACCACCGCTATCCAGGTGAGACTCCAACTACTCACATTTGTAAAGGCCGGGCTTCGCAGGACTGCTACACCACCACACGACCAAAAGGCCAAGATGAAGCGAATGACGATTAACATCCCGGAGACGTTTCTTTTTGCTCCACAGACTGCGCGCTCTCGATACTTCACCAACTCCATCAGCCTTGGCAAGTCTACAAAGTGGCAAAGGGGCAGGACCCACTTCTGGTAGAACTTCGAGCAAAAGATTTGAAGAGGCAAATCCAAACATGCAAACGACAGCTGCGGTCAAACGACCTGAAAAACCTCGTTGCCAAGGGACTTATCCGAAGAGATCGAACTCCATGTCCTCTTCCTCCTCCTCTTCCACGACAGCCTAGTGATGGCTGGTGAGAGAAAGAAACGGCAGAATGGCCTTCGTTGTTGGCCCCTCATATCTCACAACCCGGACATGACGGTCATGCGAGACACTCTTGCTGCAAGGGAGCAGTTGTTTAAATACACACATCCTCATCCACCAGGCAATTCCCTGACACACCCTACAAAAACTAGGCGAATCTCGGGCACAGCGGCCTGTCTTTCACATTCTTTCACCTACCCACTGATCATACCTGCGTTGGTGACCCCCAGACCTTGTTGGCTACCAAGTGCGTAGCACCAGACCTTTGGGGATCCGCACTTTTCTGACACCGAACACCTGTAGCCTCAAGGTCGTCTGTGCCATATTGTACAACACCCAAGTCTCCTCCCCTGTATCTCGAAGGGCTCCCTGTTTGAAGGGGAAAATGGATCTTCCAACTTTTGAAGCTACTTTTCTCCCTCCCTCCCAACCAGCTCGGCTCGCATGGCCTTCTTCTCCTCCTTCTTGGCTTCACCGCCACCGGCCGCCGGGGCAGCTGCCGCCACAGGGTTGGCTGCGGCATAGGCATCAGGGTCCTCCAAGAATTTCTTGACATCCTCCACCTGGCGAAGCCATAGCAATCTGTGGCAGTTGGAAGAGAATCCAACCTGGTGGTGGTTGAACCTGGGGAAGTTGGAGGACCACATCGAGACCGAACGAAATCTGGCAGAATGCCAGTGAAGAACAAAGAAAGAACAACCTCTATATACCATCCCGCTAACATGTTTGATGTCCCCTGCATCTGCACAGTGTGTGTAACGGACCCTCACCAGAGATGGTACCACATCCACGTGTCAAATGTTCGCACCTTTTAGCCCTTCATCTCCAACTCTCAACCCCCCCTGGACCGGCACCTCCTTGAAGGTGAAGTCGATGTCCGCCACCAGCGCCGCCACGTTCCGGAAGGCGTTGCCGAAGGCATGAGGCAAACCTGCCTCCGTGGGGATGCCCACCTGGCCAGGCTGGCGTCAAATCTTCAAGGCAAAGTGCGTGGTGGAAGTGGGTTGAAAAGAAGGGTCAATCAAATACTACATGAATGAGTATGAATTCATCTCATAGCTGTCCAAAGGAATGATTGACAGTTGAAAACATCTATGGAATTCTATGGAATCGTTATCCTATTTTCAGACATGTCCTTTTGGATTTCGTGAAATCCAACTGGTACAGTAAGACAGATTCAAGAAGTTCAATTATCATGTCATGTCTGATTTCCCGAACTTACCTCATTCCCTCCAAGTGGTCAAAACGTGCAGAAAAGGCTGCTGTAGACATGCATGTATGTCCGCAGCAGCTGATGGTTGGAGCAAGCTGAGTAATTAGTAGGCTCTGTCATTCACAAAGACATGCAACTAGGCAAGTTGCTCTCCTTTCCCGCCTTTGGGGATCAAAAAGGGAACTATGAGTCGACCAAAAATAAACAGAGGATCTGCCTCTCGGCTGAAGGCGGCCATGTTGGCGATACCGGCCAAGAACTTCTGGATGAGCATCTCCTGCATTGGGATGAGCAATGGATCAGCTTCTTTATATATAATATATATGTCTCCATTGACAGGACAGGGTTTGGTCATCTTTGGTTCAAAGGGTCCCCAAAAGGGTCTTTCGGGTAGGGAAGAGATCCCCTTTGAAAAGAAGGTCTTTGCGCGCCTAAGTAGGAATCCCCAGCTTGCAGCTTGCATTTCCGAGCAGGGGTGCCTTTGGGAACACGAAGTAAATCAGTAAATCCCACAAGTGCCTTGACAGGGTGACGCTGTCAAACATTCTGGGTCTTCCGAAGACTTAGTAATTAAAAGACGCACCTGTGCTCACAAATAACTATATACTTCAGTTGTTGCAAATTCGGCGTCGTTCCCTGGCAAACAAACATGGACGTGCCCAACGAGGCTCAAAAAGTGGGCCTGACGCTTCATGATGATTTGCAAGACCATGTACTATTGCACGCTGGCTCAAATCCTCACCGCTAGCCTGGGCTCGTCAACGACCTTCAGCCCATCGCAGGCCGCTCGTCACTCGCGCTGTGTTTCGGGCTTCTCCTCAGACATGTCCAGGACGGCTGCGCTGAAAACAGCGGCATCCTGGAAGACATACTTCACCTGACACCCAGACCCAGCGCTGAGTCATGCACATGGCGAGGTCCGCAGGACTACCAGGTGCCGAACATTACACAATTTGGAAGAGTCGTTCGACTTCTTCCCACAAGTTCCAAGAGATTTGAAAGCCCCGCCCCATTTCCCATGACATTCCACTGTGATTTGCTGAAACTACTCCAGTATCACAAGTCTTTTGAGGAATCCCCAATCTTCTTCTTGAGGCTTTCCTGCTAAACTACTTCGGACCCATCTGTGGCTTGCCTCCATCTTGTACTCGAAGGGTCGGATGCCCAGCTTGTTGAGCAGGACTGCACCGGAGGCTGTGACGCGCTCGCCCACCTCAAAGGTGGGGGAGCAATCCGGAACAATGGGGATTGTTGGTTAATCTCATTTACCCTGAAGAGTCGTGGGCACGGTTCCTCACTGAGATGATAATGAGGATACTGACTTTTTTGCCCAAAGAATGTGTGCAAAGACTCTTTGTAGGGCCCTCATGACCAATGGTGATGTAATGTTTGACGCACCCAAGCAACATCCTCTTTCAGCCACTCACCACTCTGATCCACCAGCCACGCGGTTCGGCAAGACACATCCAACATGTCTCCGATACTTAAGCCGAGGCTCGGCTAAGATCTTGAAATCGGAGACCAGCTCGATCTGTCCCTTCACGATCTTGGTACCGATGTTCAAGGCCTCGAGTTGAGAGCGAGCTTCATTTTTTTATCTCTAGACTCTAGCTGGATGAGCATGGATGGGAAAATGCTGGGTTGGCTGTATATATCGACTCAGCTTTCTTGCCCAAGCAGTTCAGTAGTATGGTGGTTCCTGGCCCTAAACCCATCCCCTCCCTCATCCTCGCCCTCACCTCCCTTCGAGATCCGCTCCGCTCCGCCTGGAAGAAGGAGGTCTGGGAAGGGTCCATGCCAGTGGGTCCGGAAGGGATGAACCAATCCACGATGGAGTTCCTCAGCACCACGTGAGGTCCCTTTGGTCGACCGAACACCACGTGAGGTTCGGTCTGTTGGAGTCCTTGTGTTGATGGTGGGCCTCATAGATGTTCTTGCAGCATGGTATAGCATGGTGATATATGGTGAGTGTTTACATGTCTGGTGACACGCCACATGGCGAGTGGTACTACCTGCGGGAGATTGTTTGGTCTGGGGTGATTGGTTTCATGTCAAGACCAGTCGCGGTGTGAGGTACGTAGACAGCTCCTCAATTCTATTTATTATAGTTATGTAATGTTATGTAATTCAATGCACGCTCTCAGTATCAAAAGCTGCCTCTACTCCGACAAACCCCGATTTGGTTAGCGTTGGTTAGAATCTGTTCATCTGTGTAAGAGGCAACAAAAAACATATAGCCACTGCTTAGATTGGATGCAAAAGAATCTGTTGTCCGCGATGCGTGCCTCCCGACACGGTCGAACTTTCGTGATGCCAAGCGTCTGTCCGGCTTTCGCGGCAGACTCTCTCTTGTACCTCACGCAAAGCTGCAAAGGCATGTCATTTGATGTGATGCGATCGATGCATCCTTCCTACGATGGCAGTCGTCGGTCACAGAGAGGTTAGGGATCTGTGAGTCTGTGAAGTTGCACGGATGAAAGAGAAAGAAAGCTAGAAAAGAGATGGAGTCAGCGAGAGAGAGAGAGAGAGCACGAGAAAACAAGCAAAAACCTTGCCAAACTCGGCATTTCTCGTTTGAATGGATAAAGCTTCAAGTCAAAGTGTGAGTCGAGTAGGACACATCTTCAAGCCTTCAGGATGACTGTTTTCCGCAAAGCATGGGTTTTGAATGGACGGCACTTGTCGCAGCATGAGGGGATGCCCAAAATGAATGGATTTCATCTCTTTCACCTTTCAATTCTGGGGTCTGTGGAGTTGGAGGGCCTCAGCATCTGGGGACCCAAATCTTTTTAGTGTGTCAAGTGCTTCCACAGGGGTAATTGAACCTTGTCCATCAACAGGCTCACTTCTGACATCTGAGACGAATGAGAGACTTTAAGCAAATCACATATGCTGTTTTTCTTTCGGGAGTGAAACACAATCTGTGCTTTGGAAAAACAGATTTGTGAGAAATCCTACATTGAAAGAAGAAAGCTTGCAGCAGTTGATTCAAGGGATACTAAGTAAAGAGTTACAATCAAAGTACTGCTAAGCTGCTTCTTTGATAAGCTTGGTAACAGCCAAATTCAAGTACGGCACGGTTTGAGGGTCAGCTCCCTCCTCTCTTCGCCCAAAAGTTCTTGCTCCAAGAGAGAGAGAGAGAGAGAGAGATTTTGCGGGGCTTTCGCAGAATTAACACAAATGGTTGGCCAGTTTCTAGCATTCTGAAGGCTGGAGACTCCCCCAAACTGATCCAGCCACCTCCTGGCAAAAGGTATCAGGCCATTAATCGGTGCTGTCTAAACGTTTGCACCCAATCCCCCCTATCCTCAGTCTTTGAGCCTAGGAAAGGAATTACTGTAGGTTGTTTCAAAATGGAGCACCCACCCCAAAGAACCTTTGGAGGAACATCGAATCCCAAACTCCTAACTGATTGGTTGGGAGCTCCGCAGCTTGCTTCACTGATCTCTTCACTGCTCGGCCAAGGAGCTTTCCCAAGACCTCTCTGATGTCATCTGTGGTGCAGTTCCTGCCCCGAGCTGACTCGGGCAAAAAAGAGTTCGGGGTGATTCTCCAGACCGGAGAGCGCGAAAGATCCGTGCATTCATCCTAGAGTGCACATTCTGTCCAGTAGTAGATTTCGCAAGCAGCAAACATCTCTTGTTTTCGTGGCAGCATCATTCGCCACTCTGGCATTTGGCCAGGTAGATGTAGGTCCAAAGTCCCAAGATTCAATTTTTCAATGGTTTCATTCATAGCTCGTCGTCCATACGGCGCGAAACAAAACCAGAGCTGCCCACCCAGGGCCCCGCGCGTGGCGAAAATGAAGCCGAGGTTGCCCTGGATGATGGCCCGGAGCTTGTCGAGACCAGCCTGGATCGCATGAGCCGACCATAGCCGACCACGCCAAGAAGTCTTCTCTAAAATGTCCCTACTGAGACAAAGAAAAAGACTAGTAAAGGAGTCAGCAAAAGGCAACACTGCAAGAAAAACAGCCAACAAACAGTCCACATGCAGGGGAAATCTTCAAGTCAAGTCAAGTCACAACATTGGTGTGACTCTGTCGCCTGGTAGGCAAAACATGGGATTCGGATGCAGCTGATAACCATGATATTCCAAACTGTCGTTACAACTTGTAGGCCACTTGGTGGGCATCTTTCCTATACTACACACACGTTCCGGGCAACAACCTATCCATTCGCTCCTGGCCTCAGGGTGCTCGGTGTGGCCGTTCGCCAGCGCCTTGCGGATCATGGTGTTCTTGCCTGGGAGTGACAGCTGCGAGCCAAGGCAAGGCAGTGGATTTCAGATTTGGCTCAGTTTGGTTGGAGTTTTGTTCGATGCTCTTCGTGTAGTGCCATTTAGAGAAAGAGGTCCAAATCGGGCTGCCCTCTGCACCGTCCGCACCCACCACGTCACGCCAACCCGCACCCTGTGCTGTCAGGTGGCCCATCAAGACCACAGCCTTCCCTCTCAGCTCCATGCGGATGTCCTGGCCCGTTGCCCGAGCCGCCCCATTTGCAATCGCAACGGGGGAATGGATATTATGGCCTAACGACTATGAATGATTGAGAGTGGACTAGACTATTAGCTGTATAATGCTGTATACTATATACACGATATTGTCATGACATATCGTGTGTGTCGAACTATGTCGAACTAGCCAGTCTGAAGGAGCCTCGAATGATTCCACGGCCTTGGGGCGCTGCCCCAAAACATGATCTCTTGGAGACTCTTTGGTTTCTACCCCCACACCTGCATCTGTTTGGAGGAGATGTTGTCCACGCCTGGGCTGCTGGGATGGTCCACTTATGTCAACTTGCTTCAGCTTGAGGCGAGTGAAACTCATCGAAATTGACAAAGCACGGCTGTGGGTCAATACCTCATACCCCAGGTGAACTTTAGCAGAAAAAAGTGCATGTGCCAACCTCTCAATCGGTTTGTTCCGTTGACAACTTCCAAACAGAAGCGGAGAATCTCGACCAAAACCTTGGGGGATGTCATGGGCTTTGGGTGCATCAAGAGCTCCTGTGTGAGGCTGGCAAAGGATGATTGGACAAACGCCAGCTTGCTTACCATGTAATACGATTTAATACGTATAAGTTCTGTTTCCTTCCCACTGTGCAACCTTATCTGGTCCAAGAATCCCAACCCAAGTGGCCCTAGCTGTTTGGTTTTTTCTGGTTGAGAGACATAGACAGAAAAAGGCTGGTAAAACAGAAGACAAACTCCACCGAGGACTGACAACATCCCACAACCTCACGAGCTATCAAACATTCACCTGTGTGAGCCACACCAAACACTAGGACTCCCGACTGACCAGCAAGGCATTGGGAGTATTCACGCAAAGGTCCACAAGCTTGGCAAAGTACCTGTGCTCAGTGCTCATCGTTTTCGTCACGCAAGCAGCGAAGGAAGAGGTTCTCTGCTTGACGAACATGGCAAAGTGGTCGTCATGGTCATCGTCCTTTCTGTGGGGTTTGGCCCCAGGGTGCTGCTCAACACCAATGGGACAGCACAAGGCAGCAATCGGAAGGGTACGCATTCTTCTTCGCGAGCTTCTCTTTGCTGGGCATCCTGCCGATATCTCAAAGAGATCGGAGTTGCAGAGATAAAGAGAGTAGGTTGAGATGCGATGTTTACATCGCAGATTCAGAGTAGGTGCAAAGCCATACCTGGACAAGTTTAGTAGGATTCCTGAGTCCTGTAGATCATTTTAGAGGGCTCAAGCATTTTAGACTACGACTATCTCAAGCTGATCCTGCCTTAAGTTCACCCAAGGAGCGCAGTTCTGCCCCTCCTGACGAAGAGGGGTGGAGCAACTCGACTCTCGTCGGGGCGCAGCTGGTCCGTGTTTGAGCCCAAACCGCTACGGTCGGCACCACTTGCCCAGTCAGCGGATGATGTGATGCTTCTGTCTCGCATCGCTGCAGAACTGATGGTTCATTGGGTAGTTCTCCTACTTTGGTTCTACTTACTAGAATGGCCCAGCACAACAGCAGGGACAGGCTTGCCTCCGGGAACCACTTCTTTGTACCCAACCACATCAAGAAGAACAGCAGCAAGCCAATGCAAGCTCATCTGCAACATCATGCAACACCCAATCCCAGCCACAGCACATGGTTCAACACTCCTTGGCGATGCCACAAACACACTTTTCGATTCCTCCCGCGCATTCGGCCACTGTCCATCTGTCCATCCTCATCACCTTACATTGCTGGTGCTCTTTTGGGAACAAGTGACAAAAAGCTGATGTATTGGTTCATCTTCTAATGGCAACACAGGTTTCACTAAGACCAACCTCGTTTCTGAGTGGTAGCGTCTGCTGTCTCAATCTTCCAGCTGCAGCTGGCCGTTCAAGCACAACAGAGAGACATTTCTCCACTTGCTTTGGCCACTAAAAAACATTAAAAAACACCTATTGTCTTTGGTAGGCTCAGATTCCTTTGAACAACTTCTTTCGATACAAGTACTGTTAACAACAAACACCGCGGCACGAGATCGTTGGTTGACCGGTGATTGGTGCATACTAAGGCACTTTGCCAACTGCCGGAACAGGGAAGCTCTGAGGACGCCTCCTGTAGGGTCATCATGGTCATCTGCTTAGCCAAAGAGATCGAACTCCATGTCTTCCTCCTCCTCTTCCTCAACCACGGCCTTACAAGAACCACAAGAGAACATGAATGAACGGATGTAGAATCGAATGGAACTACCGTTCACCAGGTACAAGTTACAGCGATTAATTATCAGCAATTAAGGCTGGGGCCTCGGGAACAAAGACTAAGACATAGAAAAGCAACCCAACAGAGCAGTGGAAAACTAACATCCTCATCACCCAGGAAGTCAGCATGGCTTGCCACTGACAAAATAGGCAGAACAGACAACAAGATACAGTAAATGGTAAATCAAACCTCCTTGTCAATGATACCCATCTCCATGAATTTGATCTTTTTTTGACACCATCTCTATTACATCCAACATCCATTCATACTCACGGACTCACGGCCTGGAACCATCGACCTTCGCCTTTCCCTCCCCTCGAGACCCAAAAGCCTTCTTCTCCTCCTTCTTGGCTTCACCGCCACCGGCCGCCGGGGCAGCTGCCGCCACAGGGTTGGCCGCGGCATAGGCATCAGGGTCCTCCAAGAACTTCTTGACATCCTCCACCTGCCAGCAACTAGATGTGAATTTGACTCTGAAAGCTATGTACACTTGAACCGATTCTCCCGGACACTGACCCATGAGACTTTGGACGTAAAGTGTGTGCCAAGACACTCTAATATTCTAGTCCGACATATTCCACCACAATTCTACTTCAATTGTTGTTGGGTCATGGACCTGGATGGAAATATCGAACATGGGAAAAGAAACAGCACCCCTGATCCTGCATAATCAAGGTATATAAAGAAACAATGTAATACAAAATGATGGGTCCATGTGGTTCGACTTGTGTTTATTTCACCGATTCACTGCTTGCGACCTGTGCAAGTTCCCTTCAAATGGCATACGGCACCTCCTTGAAGGTGAAGTCGATGTCCGCCACCAGCGCCGCCACATTTCGGAAGGCGTTGCCGAAGGCATGAGGCAAACCTGCCTCTGTGGGGATGCCCACCTGGCCAAGCTGATGAGCTGGTCACGCGCAGTTGCTTCTGAAGTGTTCTGATGGCCCAAAGGTGTGCAATAACCTTTTCGCTTACGGCTATAGTGTCAAGTGTACTTCAGCAAGTTTTGCATCTACCTTCATCCAAGGGATGGAAAACATGAAGCGACAAGGTCCCGTCCAACTGGTTTCAACTCGTGACAAACCTTGTCTTTCTAACACGCTTTCCCACAAAAATGTCGACGCATCGTGACATTACTGTGATCTCAAGCCCATCACACATGATCCCGGCCTCTCGGCTGAAGGCGGCCATGTTGGCAATACCGGCCAAGAACTTCTGGATGAGCATCTCCTGCGGATCATTGCCTTTTCAGATCCTGATCCCTAAGACCCACGTGTCGGGGCGGCCACTGTTCAATTGTTTCAAGACCTTTCACAACCATTCGACACACGAAAGTATTCTGACGAAGCTTGCACTAAAACTGGATGTTTCCTTTTGTTCCAAGCGCTAACCTTCAAAAGTTCAACCTTGTCCCCTTCTTGAGGTCATTGAGTCTGACCACCATGAGGCCCAGCCCTATCCCGCCCATCCCTATCCCTGTCACCAGCCCCCAAACACCACCATCACGCAAGACCCGTGGACTCCTCAGACATGTCAAGCACCGCAGCGCTGAAGACAGCGGCATCCTGAAAGACATACCTCACCTGCCACGACGTGGAGGCACGACGCCATGACGGACGAGTTGAGCAGCGACTGGCAGGGAGTAGCAAAGGACCTCCAGGCCTGTCTTGCACAATCGAGTACCAGCACAGGCCACTTTATTAGTAGGTTTCTGGTGTGGATATGTTCAAAAAATATTGGGAGAGCCAGTTGCCTAATGGGTAAGGCGTCGTCGTGCAAAGTCATCCAGACTTTGACAATGTCTCTTGGTGGTTCAACTCCACCCTGGCTCGTTCTTAGGTTCTGCTTATGTTGTTTTCCACCCTCTTCTCGCGATGGCAGGGTGATGATGAGAAAAAGTTGCTGATTGAGCACGTCAAAGATTTGTACCCTCGCTGTAGCGCTCCAGAATAATTTACCATGATCACAATCCTTCTATCTGATTCATTTCGCCCGTCGTCGAGAGTCGAGCTCTTCTTGGCACTTCTTCAGGCACTTCTTCAATTCCTTTATCACTTTGCCATCGCCCAGACCTTTTTTTCCCTTGGACGAGAGTGCTTTGTTAATACAATCATGCACGCACTTCCGGTAGTCCTGACACAGGCGTGTCTTTTCCTCCTTGCCACCATACCAACAGCCTTGATCAAATTCATCTTCAATCTTTTACACCCAAGCGCTTCAATTTCTCTTGTGCATCGGCACGTCCATCGGTGTTTGAGTGGGGGGACACGGCGTGCAAAACAGGTGCAGAGGCTACCCGGATGAGGCCAGAGGCTGCACAGATGAGGCCAAAGGCAACGACGGCAAGGATCATGAAGAAGCTGCTGCTGAGCCTTTGATGTTCCCGGTCAACAGAATTATACCCTGGAGTTGACCGGGCGATGTTCCAAAGCCTCTCCCGTTCCATGTCTTGAATGCGCCACGGCACATGGACCCTCTCCATGGCGCCAGTCAAAGCTTGCACAGCGACAAACTTGTGCCAAGGCTGACAAATTCATATGCCAAAACTTGTTCAACCAACACTGCACTTGTGTGCTGTGTTACTAGATGACTTGCAAGATGACTTGGACAAGGACTGTGACATATAGCATCATATATCAATATAGAGTTACTTGGCAATATTAACTGCAAGCTCCAGGTCGTCAACACAAGCACCAAGCTATATGAATGAGAACAGCATCCTTTGGCATAGCGGCTAGACTCTTCTCCCACCAGACACCCCACGATACTACTGGAGGCCAAAGACCACCAAACTCCATCCCTGTCACAAGATTGAAGGACTCAAGTCCAAAACTCAATCCCAAGTTGAGCTGTTGATCTTCCCAGTTTTCGCCTGCCCAACAGCACCGGCCTCCATCTTGTACTCAAAGGGTCGGATGCCTAGCTTGTTGAGCAGGACCGCGCCGGAAGCTGTGACGCGCTCGCCCACCTCAGTCGCTTAATTTAAGGTGGGGAAGCAGTCCGGAACATGGGGATTGTTGGTTAATCTTATTTAAATTGGAGAGTTGTTGGGCAAGGTTCCTCACTGAGATGAGAATAATGATACTCAATTTTTTGCCCCAAAGAATGTGTGCAAAGACTCTTTGTAGGGCCCTCATGACCAATGGTGATGTAACGTTTGACGCGCCTAAGCAACATCCTCATTCAGCCACTCACCACTCTGATCCACCAGCCACGCGGTTCAAACAAGACACATCCAACATGTCTCCGATACTTAAGCCGAGGCTCGGCTAAGATCTTGAAATCGGAGACCAGCTCGATCTGTCCCTTCACGATCTTGGTACCGATGTTCAAGGCCTGTGGAAAATCTCGACAAAAAGCTGAAGCTGTTCCAAGTTCTTTTTGGTCCACCAAACAGTGGCTGTCAGAGCCTCTTCACATCCCTAGTGTATGACTGATCAATTCTTGGCGTTGAAGAATCCAGGGTGGCAATATGCCGCACGCATTGCCTGGAAGAAAGAGGTCTGGGAAGGGTCCATGCCAGTTGGTCCAGAAGGAATGAACCAGTCCACGATGGAGTTCCTCAGAAATGAAGAGCGCTGACTGCGTGGGATGAAAGTGCTAGGGACAAAGACTTATGGTGTTCCTTGTCAAGGATGGTCAAGAAACGCTATTAGAAACAATAAGCTACTAGGAACAAGTGCCACGCTACTAGGAACAGGTGCCTTACT